TTGAAACCCTGTCTTCACAAAAAATACCAAAATAGGTTTCTTCTTTTTATTTTTTTAAATTTTAAAAATTGTATTTATTTATTTATTCATTTTTTGAGACGGAGTCTTGCTTTGTCACTCAGCCTGGAGTGCAGTGGTGTGATCTCGGCTCACTGCAACCTCCGACTCACAGGTTCTAGTGCTTCTCATGTCCCAGCCTCCTGAGTAGCTGGGATTACAGGTGTGTGCCACCATGCCCAGCTAATTATTTTGTATTTTTAGTAGAGACAGGGTTTCACCACGTTGGCCAGGCTGGTCTTGAGCTCTTGACCTCAGGTGATTCACCCACTTTGGCCTCCCAAAGTGCTGGGATTACAGGTGTGAACCACCGCACCCGCCTAAATACAAAAATAGTTAAAAAAAATTTTTTTTGGGTCCAGGTTGGAGTGAAGTGGTACGACCTCAGCGCACTGTAGCCTTGATCTCCTGGGCTCAAACAATCCTCCTACATCAATGTCCCGAGTATCTGGACCTCCAGGTTCAGACCACCACACCCAGTTTATTTAATTTTTTGTAGAGATGGGATCTCCCTATGTTGCCCAGGCTGGTCTTGAACTCCTGGGCTCAAGCGATCCTCTTGCCTCAGCCTCCCAAAGTGCAGTGATTATAGATGTAAGACACCAACACGGCCCTTGATAGAGTCATAATGATAATTTTTAAAACCCTTAAGTACTAAGGAGAATGGGCTTGGTGGAGAGAACTCCCTGGAAAGGGAAATGAGATTTTACTTGCATCTGAGTTGCTCGACCACCAATCTGATCTAAGAGGTCATTTGAAGTAAGCTTAGCCACAGAGGCTCTCTTAGGTCCTAGTAATGGAGATAAGGAGACTGGGAGAAACATTACTGAAGTAGAGGGTTAGATTTGCTCTTTGGGTGCAAAAATCTTATTAGCCCCCAAAGATTTCTGGGTAAAATGTTGAAATGTTATTTGCTTGAAATCTGATTCTTTTAAACTTGGCCTCATTTCCCTTAGGACTCTGGGATCTCGCTCTGCCCAATGGCTTCCCTCTCAAACTGCACCAAGTGTGGCATGAAACAGTGAACACAGTGTGGATGCAGGCAGGGGACTGGCAGGGAATACCTCTGACCCTATAGTACCCATACCTGGCTCCAGTTCATACCTGGGGGGTACGGGGCAGTTCTGAATAGGCGGAAAGTGGAAGAAACACACTGAAAACTCAAGCATGCTGCAAACCCTGGGCTAAGCTCCGCCTTTGTTAGTGCCTGAAATCTTTCAAACCGGTGAGAACATTCCTGAAACAGGCTGAACATTCCTGAAATTCAAGCAAAAAGAGTATCTCTCAGGTAGGAGGAGGAAGGGTCAAAGGTCCTTAGGACCTGGTTCTTTCTTTTACTTCAGAATCAAAACCTGTCCTTGTCCTTAGCCCAGTCCCCCACCCCCAACCCCATTCTGCACTACTCCTCTCTGTCCTTCCTCACATTCCTGAAGCCCTAGACAATGTCCCCCGGAGCAATCAGTTGTTCAACACTCTCTGGGGCCCTTCCCCAACCTCAGCCTTTATGTTGATGTTCTGTTTCCTTGCAGGAGTAGGAATTTGTATGAACACTTATTGTTCTTATAGTTTTATTTTTATATCAGCCAACACATTCATTATACTATAGGACTATAAAAGGGAGCAGTTTTTGCCCCATGCCCTATTTCAACCATGAAAAGGAACTAAAGTTTGGCTTGTCAGAGCCTAAAGAAACCCTAGTGACAGGACTAATAAAAATTAGCAGGCTAAGTTCGGTGGCTCACGCCTGTAATCCCAGCACTTTGGGAGGCCGAGGTGGGTGGGTCACAAGGTCAGGAGATCGAGACCATCCTGGCTAACATGGTGAAACCCCGTCTCTACTAAAAATACAAAAAATTAGCCAGGCGTGGTGGCACGTGCCTGTAGTCCCAGATAATCAGAAGGCTGAGGCAGGAGAATCGCCTGAACCCAGGAGGCGGAGGTTACAGTGAGCCAAGATCACGCCATTGCACTCCAGCCTGGGTGACAGAGCCAGACTTCGTCTCAAAAAACTAAAAATAAATATAAATTTTCAACATGAAAAAATTAGCCACCTGTAATGTACCTGTATTCTCAGCTACTTTGGAGGCTGGAGGAGACTTTGAGCCCAGGAGTTCAAGGTTGCAATGGGCTATAATTGCACCACTGCACTCCAGCCTGGCTGACAATAAAACCCTGTCTCAAAAATAAAATAAATATTAGCTAGCAACAAGCCATCTGCATCAGAATGACCTTGCTATCAAAGCCAGGTGCAGGACCCCATCCCAGATGTAAGGTATCAGTCAGCAGCTCTGTTCCTGGGGCCTGGGAATCTCATTCTGATGCCCTTGTAACATACAAGACCCTCTGCTTTAAAGGAACAGAGTCTCAGTGCTCCTTCTTTCATATTTTATTCTTGCCATGTTTTGTTTCTTGGGAATCTGGAGTGAGAAATTCTTAAGAATGTGTAACAGGCATGGACTTGTGTTCCTGGGCCTAGAGTGAGATGGGGAAGGGTAGGTGGGGCTGGGAAGAGGTGTGCCAATACAAATATTGTCTCATCAGGACCTGGCAATTTTGCCAGGAGGCTCACAGGGATGTGCCCTTTGCTAGAGAAGGTGCCCAGCTCCCCCTGCTCCAGGCCGAGGAGTCTGGTGCCATGGAAAAGGGCAGAGGTCAACGGTGTTGGTCAGGGAAACCTAGACTGCACAAGAAAGAACTGGGCCATTGTCAGGGGTTATTGGAATTCCTCTGGCTCCAGAAAGTGTGGGTTGAGAACCACCTGGGAGACCCTTAGAGGAAGGAGGAGAGGTGGAAGCCAATTAGACTTTCACTTCACTCAGGGCCTGATAACCATACCAGGTCAAGGGGATACTTCATTGTCCCTCTGATTTTAGGGGTCAGAAGTTGGGAGAGGAGCCAAGGCTTGAGAATTCCAGGTTAACAAATCTACTGTACCCAATCGCCCACAGATGGTAGAGTCTGACCAATTCACAAAAGACTTAGATATCAGGGTTGGAGGTAGTGCTTCCAATAATCCATCTCATCCACATTCCTGAGTAGACTTAGCCAGTGTCCTCCTTGCCTCACCCACAAACCAAATCAATCAGGTAGACTCCTACTTCCCAACTCAATTTTTCCACCTTTCCTAAGCCCCTGGGTGGGTTGGGTGCCCTTCTCTGTGCTCCCAGAGCCCCATTCTTGCCCATATTGCATAACACAATACCAGGTTGCAATTTTTGTCTTATATCTGTCTCCCCAACCAGCAATCCACATTCCTGCAATAGGAGCTAATCCCATGGTGTCTGTCGTGGCCAGGTCAAGGCCTCTCACAGAGTAGGCAGATGCTCACATGCCCACAGGGATTGCCCCAGCAATGGGAGTTGTCCCTCTGGGGACTGGGGCAAAAAGAACCTAGAACCTCAGGCCTCCTACACAATGGGAACAGTTTTGGCCTGGATGCTTTTAGACACCAGGCCAGCCTTCTGCCCACTCTGTCCTCTGTCCCAGGAAGCTGCCAAGGATGACTGTTCCAGCTGGCAAGTGATGAGATTTTCTTCCTGGAAGGATTCGTGGCTTGAGAATTGGCCTTTACCTCTTCTAGGTTTCTTTGATGCCCTCAAGTTGCTGGGGACATGGGGAATGGGAGGGAGAGGCTGAGTTGGCCTTGGCATTCTGTTTCCACAAAGGCCTTGTGCCCACTTCTTACCTCCTCTAACTGCACATGGCAGGGATTCCCAAGATCATGGATTTTCCAACCCTGAGTAAGGTGGGGGACGGGGCTGGCCCAACATTTGATGCCAGTAGAGTAGCACTGCCTCTGGCCACATGTGTCTCAGCCCTAACTCTGCCCTTTTTTGGCTTTAGCTAACCAGGGTAAAGCTTCAGCCCAACAGACTGAAGAGGGACAGGCCCATTATCAAGAAAAGAACCCCAGCCTGGACAACATGGCAAAACCCTGTCTCTACAAACATTTGCTGAGTGTGGTGGCACGTGCCTATAATCCCAGCTACTTGGGACACTGAGGTGGGAAGATTGCTTGAGCCTGAGAGGTCAAGTTGCAGTGAGGTTGTGATTACACAGTTCTGTACTCCAGCCTGGGTGGATAGAGCAAGACCCTGTCTGAAGACCCATACTTGTCCTCATAAATAACAAACTCCAGTTTCACACAGTGGGCCTGACTCTGGCTGGAGGATACTTGTATATCTCTAAAGGCCAAGTCTTCAGAAAACCTCATAGCCCTCAATAGGGCAGAGTCCTTCTCCTAACCCAGGAAACACATACCCAATCACAGCTACTTTATTTTCCTTTTAATTTTTTGGAAGGATATACACCACATATCCCATGGGCAATAAGCGCATTCAATGTGTTTATAAGCCAAACAGTCACTTTGTTTAAGCAAACACAAGTACAAAGTAAAATAGAACCACAAAATAATGAACTGCATGTTCATAACATACAAAAATCGCCGCCTACTCAGTAGGTAACTACAACATTCCAACTCCTGAATATATTTATAAATTTACATTTTCAGTTAAAAAAATAGACTTTTGAGAGTTCAGATTTTGTTTTAGATTTTGTTTTCTTACATTCTGGAGAACCGAAGCTCAGCTCAGCCCTCTTCCTTATTTTGCTCCCAAAGCCTCCCCCGAATCATCACTCCCTGCCCCCCTTAAGGCTAGAGGTGAGCATGTCCCTCACAATTGCACATGTCAAGCCATCAGCAAGGCGCATCACACAAAAGGCACCAAGACGTGAAACTTTTTAAACCAAAAGGACAAAGAAAAACACTTTCAAAAAAAAAAAAAAAAAAAAAAAAAAAAAAAAATTTTAAAAAAAAAAAAAAAAAAAAGAAAAACCAAACCATATTTTGCCACATGTGAGAGTACAGTCGAGCAGTATTTACAAAAACGTTAACGGAACAACACTCTGACACATGCGTTGAGAATACCTAGGACTGCTGTTTCAAAAAAAGGTTCAAACTTATTGTCACAGCATCATCACAAAATAGAGGATCACCATTGGTTTGCTTGGCTTTTCTTTTTTTTTTTTTTCCCCAAAGTGAGGACCTAATTCCAAATAATACAATAGAATATGCAAATTATCTTCACATCAAGAGTACCTCAAGAAAAACGAAATCCATGGCACAGACACTATACAAAGGTGCAGGGCAGGGCTCTGAGGGGCCCAAACCCCATGTTGCCAACTCGATTTTCTAGCGTTGAAGGGAGCAAGGGATCAGGCATATGATGGAGATGATACTGAAATGATTTATCCAAAATCCATGCAAGTCAAGTTCTTTGGATAGAGGTGAAGAACTTGGACATGGCTGTTTCAGGCAGCTGAAGTCAAAGGGAACAGGAATTTGGGAAGGGGAAGTGGGCAGAAAGGATTGTTGGCCAACAGACCTTCCGCTCTGAGTAGAGAGGGAGGACTTGGCTCTGAGAACCTCCATCTGACCTAAGAGGAACCCTCCTCTCCTATGGCCATCTCCTCCTCCTGTCCTTTAAGTCTCTTGTGTTTCTTTTTCTCCCTTTTCCCTTTGTTTCCCCCTTTCCCCTTAGCAAATTTCAATTGTCCTGGGAGAAAAGGTTGCTGTCATGTCCGAAAGCCCTGTGGAGGCGCTGAAGGAGTTGGTGACAGCTGAGGAAGGGAAGCTGCTGACCTGGGCAGGGAAAGCAGGGGGAACCGAGGAGTACGTAGTGGCCACCGACGGCGAGGGGAAGCCACTGTGCACAGGGGATGGGTAGGTCGAGGAGCCGGGAGAGGAGAAGGAGGTAGGCACAGGGGACGGGTATGAGGTGGTGGCTGGGGACGGATAAGAGGTAGTAACTGGGGACGGGTAAGAGGTAGCAACCGGGGATGGGTAGGAAGAGAGGGAGGAGGTGGCCGAAGAGGCCACAACACTTTTGTCTGCTTTCTTGTCCTTCTGCCGCAAGTGGATCTTGGTATGCCTCTTGCGTTCATCGCTCCTGGCAAACTTTCTCCCACAGATGTCGCAGGCAAAGGGCTTCTCGCCCGTGTGGGTGCGGATGTGGGTGGTGAGGTGGTCGCTGCGGCTGAAGTTGCGCATGCAGATGCGGCACTGGAAGGGCTTCTGGCCTGTGTGGATGCGGATGTGGCGGGTGAGCTCGTCGGAGCGGGAGAAGCGGCGATCACAGGACTCCACCGGGCAGGCATAAGGGCGTTCGTGGGGGGGCGTCTTGCTGGGCCGGTTGGGGTACTTGCGCATGCGGCTGGGTTTGATGAGCTGGGACTGGTAGCTGGTATTGAGGGCCTTCAGGTCCTGGGAGCCCGACTGAGTGGCAAAGGCCTTGATAGTAGACAGGGGGGTAAGCGAAGGCTGCTGGGTGCGGCTCTCCAGGGCCTGGAAGGGCTTCTGGTCTGGGGTGCCCAGGCCCAGGTCCCCCTGCTGCTGTGGAAACAGGTAGTCGGGGATCATGGGAACCTGGAAACCACCCTTGGCAGGGTAGGCGGGAGGCGGGTACTGGAGCGCCGTCCCTGCCGAGCCCGGGAAGGCCTGGCTTTGTGGCTCAGGGAAAATGTCAGTGTTTGGCGTGGGGAAGGTGGGTGCTGCTGAGTAAATGGGACTGCTGTCGTTGGATGGCACTGCGCAGCTCAGGGGTGGGCTCTGGGAGGCGGAGGAGGAGGAGGAGGCCGCTGGAGATGGTGCTGAGGATGAGGAGGCTGGCGGGTTGGTCATGCTCACGAGGCCACTGACCAGGCTGAAGAGGGGCTCGGGCCACAAGGTGTTGCCACTGTTGGGTGCAGGCTCCAGGGAAAAGCGGCCCGTATAGGTGATGGGGGGCAGTCGAGTGGTTTGGCTGGGGTAACTTGTCTCCACCAGCACCTTCTCGTTGTTCAGAGAGATGTCAGGAAAAGACTCTGGCAGGAGAGAGAGAAGGGGAAGGCCTGGTTACTGGAGAGCAACCACTGGAGGACGAGGACGACCCGAGCTGCCAGGCAAGAGGTCGGGCCGGCCACCATTGACTCCCGAGGTAGTTAATAATTGATAGCAGCAGATTGCAATGTTCCTGGACCCGCTCCAGTGGCACAGCCCATTTCAACAACAGCTGACGCAAATACGGAGAATCCCCCTTCACTGCAGCTCGCAGCGCTCCGCAGCGGCGGCTGCGCGGGCGAGGGATTCCCGCCAGCACCTCCACGGCCGCCGGGGCTAGTGCGCGCCCCCAAACCCGGGCTGCCGGGACATCCACGGCCAAGGATCACGGTCCTTCCTTGGGTAAAGGCGGCAGGCAAGGCAAGCCTTTCTGGAGGGTGGGGGCGCAGCCCCGCTCATCAAAACAAGCCCTCCCCCTCCACCCACCCACGCAGCTCCAGAGCTCTCCATCCAAAACCAAAAAAGCTCAGTCCTCTGCGCTCCGCCAGGGATGAGGGCAGGGGGTGGGCTGTATGGTGTCCCATGGCATCCCTCTAATACATGACCCTGGGGATGCGAGGAATGAAACGGAAACCTAGCTTCCATCCTAAGGTCCAGGAGCACTCCTGCGGTGAAGGACCGAACGCCAGGATGGTGGGGAAAAGGTTCCCCCGGGCGTAGGCCACTGCTTACCTGTAGTCAGGTGCTCGTAGGGTTGCTCGCCCGTATCCCCCTGAGGGTTGAAGGTGCTGCCGCTGCTGCTGCTAGTGTTGCTGCCGCCCCCGCCGCCCCCGCCGCCCCCGCTGCTGCTGCTGCTGTTGCCGCCGCTGCCCTCTGGGGCCCCGGCGGCTCCAAGGAACTGGGGAGCCCCGTTGCTCAGCAGCATCATCTCCTCCAGCTTGGGGTAGTTGTCCATGGTGGGCGAGTGAGGAAAGGATCCGAACGGGTCAGAGATCTGCAGCGGAGACATCAGCTGCATCTCCGCCTTGGCCGTGGCCATCCCAGACGAACGGGCCGGAGAGCTGGTGTCGGGGCGGGTGGGCGCAGCCCGGGGCTGGAGCTGCGGGGGACACAGTCGCGGGGGCCTGGCCAGGTTACATGCGGGGCGCGGGGCACACTGAGGAGCGCACAGGCGGGGACCCCGGCTCGCCCTGGGCGCTGGCCGGCGTGGACGCGCCGCGGTTGCGGAGGCTGGGGCAGGGGCCGGTCCTGCGGCGGCGGAAGCTGGCGGCGGCAGCGGATGGCGGCGGCGGCTCCCCAAGTTCTGCGCGCTGGGATCTCTCGCGACTCCCCGGATCCGCCTCTATTTGAAGGGTCTGGAACCGCACGGGCCCGCCTCCGTCGTGACGTACATGGCCATATATGGGAAGCAGGAAGCCCTAATATGGCAGGACCGGCCGGGAGGACCCAGAGTGACGTGAAGCCCCCCATCCAACAGCGCCTGACACCTCCATCCCGCACCCTGGGGCCCGCGCCCGCGCCCGCATCCCAGGTGCCCAGGCTTCGGAAAAGCCCAGAGCTCGAGCTGCTGCCGGGGCCTCCGGGACCCGCGCTGCTCTGGAGTTCCCGCGTTGCCCCCGCCCCTCCCTCCGCCTTCTTCCCTCCTCCCAGAGCCGGAAGCAGCCGGGCCATATCGGGCCACTCCAAATAAGGCGCTGCCCAAATAAGGATTGTTCCGGCGGGGGGATCCTTCCTGCTCCTTATATGGCATTTCCGGGTCGCTGCTGGTTGCTCCCTCGCTCCCTCCCCCCTCCCTGGTTCCAAGCCGGGAGCCTGAGCGCTCACAGGAGCCGGGGACGCCCAGGCGGGGAGGGCTCGGGGCGCGTGGTGCGGGGCGCGCGGCTGCTCAGGCGGCTCCCAGGAGTGAACTGGGCTGGGGAAGCCCGGACCCAGAGCGGGGGCGAGAGTGAGTCGGGCGGGGGTTCTGCCGCTGTCATCCAGGGCCCGCCCGCCCACCTCGGGGACCGTGGGAGCCAGCCGGGAGCGTGGGGGAGGAGCGGCTGGGCCAGCCCGGGCAGGGGCCGCCCAGGAGAGGCGGGGCCTTGACCCGGAGCGTAGACCTTTGGCATGTTGACTCTCCGGGTGTCGCCGGGGAAACTGAGGCTAGGAAGTCACGGCCACTTGGTTCTTGGGACACTGCATAGCAGTGAGCTGCCTTGTCTCCGCCACCTGTCAGTGGGATGGAGCTGCTGGTGCCTGGGGTCCCCTGTACGCCCGGGGAACCGAAAGGCCTGTTTCCTAGTCCCCGCCAGCGAAGAGCCCACCTTTGAGGAATCGGAGCGGGGAAGCTGATTGCCCCAGGAGAGACTAGATTCCTGTTCCCACCAGGAGATAATGGTCCTTCTGGCGGGGGGGGGGTCACTTCCCCCCTCTGATCCAGTCCAGGTGGAGGGCGGGCCGACCCTGCGGGATTCCGAAGGGTGGGCTTCCCTATGGGCGGTCTGAGGACCCCGGGCTGGGCGCGAATAGAGGACCTGCTTGGCGGCTCGGTGCTGCCCCCTGGAGGTTCCCTCTCCACTCCCAGGCCCCGGGCTCTGGCCGCGCGGGCCCTTCCGTCGCCTCCTAGCTCCCCCTCCCGGATGCAGCGCTGGGCGCGGAGCCAGGCCGGGGGAGCCTTCGACGCAGTGAGCGCGAACTGAGCAGGCGCCGCAGCCCGGGCTCCCCCTGCAGTCCCTGGGGAGCCGCCACTGCCGAGGCGCTTGGGCTCCGGGATAGCACTCCCCACCCCGAGCCCGGCCCAGGCGAGGGGGAGAAGGAAGCGTGGGAGTGGGTGGTGGTGGGGGAGAACAATTCCCGCAGGTCTCCCCGGGACCGGACGCGAACAGGGAAGCCCTCCCCGCCCCCACGACGCAGTCAAATGCGCACCCCAAAGGGAACAGGGATTCCGGGAAGGGAAGGCCTCTCCTGCTCTAGCTCTGAATCCAGAGGAGGTGCTATTTTTCAGGATTTATAAAGAAAGCAGAAAATGTATGTGGGGAAGGAGGGTGCTTGACGACACCGAGAGGGAAGGGAGGGAATGAGGTCCTTGGTGAACTCCAACAGCCTCTGGAGGTCGGGGTCAGGGCGTTTAGATGGGGGAGGGTGTAACTTTCTTGGACTTCATCCCTTTGTGGCTGTCCGGTGCCCCCCCCAACACACACATGTTGTCTTATAAAAATCAACTTAAGAATCCAGCAATGAACCAGGACTCACTTGTCTCTGAGCTTACCATCTCAAGTCTTCTGGGGAGGTGGGGGGCCCACTCCCACTGTGTACCGGGTTGTCCATTGGGGCAGGGGTGATGCACCTCTCAGAGGACTCCTGCCGTAAGGGCAGGAAGGCCAGGCCGTTGCAGCCCAGATGGTCCTGTGTCAGAATGTCCATTTTGCCACTCCCTGGTAGGGTACCTTAGCCAGGTAAGGTTTTTTTTTTAATTCTTTCTGAGAGGGGGTCGCACGCTGTCACCCAGGTTGGAGTACAGTGGCGCGATCTCAGCTCACTGCAACCTCTGCCTCCCAGGGTCAAGTGATCCTCCAGCCTCTGCCTCTTGAGTAACTTGGACTACAGGTGGATGCCACCATACCTGGATTTGTTTTTTTTTTCTTTTCTTTTCTTTTCTTTCTTTTTTTTTTTCTTTTTGTATTTTTGTAGAGAGGGGGTTTTACCGTGTTGCCAGGCTGGTTTTGAACTCCTGAGCTGAAGCGACTCACCCACCTGGGCCTCCCAAAGTGCTGGGATTATGGGTGTGAGCCACAGCACCCAACCAAACTTTTTGGTTTTTGGTTTTTTTGACACGGAGTCTCCCTCGGTCGCCCAGGATGGAGTACAGTGGCGTGATCTTGGCTCTTGGCAACCTCTGCCTCCCAGGTTCAAGTGATTCTCCTGCTTCAACCTCCTGAGTAGCTGGGACTATAGGTGCATGCCACCATGCCTGGTTAATTTTTTTGTATTTTTAGTAGAGACGGGGTTTCACTGTCTTAGCCAGGCTGGTCTCAAACTCCTGAGCTCATGATCCGCCTGCTTCGGCCTCCCAAAGTGCTGGGATTACAGGCGTGAGCCATCTTGCCGGGCTAGGCAAGCTTTTTGTATCTCAGTTTCTTCAACTATAAAATGGGGCTAATGTTAATAATACCCACATGGGCTGGGAGTACTGGCTCACGCCTGCAATCCCAGCGCTTTGGGAGGCTGAGGTGGGCGGATCACTAGATCAGGAGTTTGAGACCAGTCTGGCTAAGACGGTAAAACCCCATCTCTACTAAAAATACAAAAAAATTAGTCTGGAATGGTGGCATGCACCTATAGTCCCAGCTACTTAGGAGGTTAAAGCAGGAGAATCACTTGAACCTGGAAGGTGGAGCTTGCAGTGAGCTGAGATTGTGCCACTGCACTCCAGCCTGGGTGACAGAGGGAGACTCTGTCACAAAAAAAATCATAATAATAATACCCACATGGGAGTATTGTTGTGAGGACTGAAATTCATCTGGGCTGACGTATGTCAAGTCCCAGTGCACAGTACCTGCCTTGCAATTGGCATTCAACAAACAGTGGCTATTATTTTCAGGGGCTTTGGATCCATAGGGTCATCAACAGTTCACCCATCCATCCTCAGCCTCCAAGAAAACTCCAGTGCCCCTTTTCTGGAAAAAGCTATGCAAATGGGGAAAATCATACGCATCCTATCACAGGGGACATAATCCCTAAGAGTTGATCTGAATCCTTCTTGCTGCAGTAGAACGTTTCCTAGAGCAGAATTTTTCAACCTTGACGGTGCAGCAGAATCACCTGTGGAGGTCTGGAAAACACAGGTTTTTGCCCTGGACCAACTGAATCACAATCTTCCTGAGCTTGTGAGTGCCAGCACTGAGCCGGGGCATCAGCCTGGGATTCTTGTGCTGTCCCTGAAAAGACACCCAGACCCAGAGAGAACATCCTCCTCCCCCAGCCAGGGCAAACCAGGTCCCCGATGATTCTCCCGTGCAGCTCACCTAAGGTATTTTCAGGTCCTTGCTGAAGCTCAACACAGGAAATTCTCAGAGTCTACATCTTTTGTTTTGCATGAACAACATCAATTCCTCTTTCTTCTTATTACTATTCCCCAGCCAGCAATTTCTTTTGGGGAGCCACCCTAATCCATGTGATTGGGGGCAAGAGCCCCGCCCTAGATCTATGGGTAGGTATGTTCCCGGGGCCTGGCCATCCATCCAGGGGTGGCCTAGCCTAGGAATGGTTCATTTCCCTAGCTGTAGTGATTGAGTCAGGATGGGCACATGACCCAAACCAGGCCAATGAGAATCGCTTCTGAGACTTTCCAGAACTCTTGGGAAAGGGAAATTCCCTTTCCCTGATGGTACTAAGCCAATAGGATGTAAGCCTGGAGGCCATCTCCCTCACAGGCCTGGAGATCCTGCCTGAGAATGAAGTCAATGCAGGGAAGTCAGAGAGAAGAGAGGCAGACATACAGAAGAGACAGACATACAGAAGGTCCCTGAACTCACCTGGGCTTTTTAGTTATGCAGGCCAATGAATTCTTTTTTTATTAATAAAATAAAACATCTTCTGTTTCTCTTACTCACAATCCAGCCAGTTGTACACCATTATCAACAACAATAAAAACTTCCCTGAGGACCTACTGCAGTCAAGGTTTGGGAATAAGACCCATGGCATAGGCCTTTGCCTCTAAGGAGCTTACAGCTGGATAGAAAGGAGCCTGGTTTCTATGTTACAAGAGAATAAAGAATAGGAAGGAGGCAGCCCTGTTAGCCATCAGAACTCAGTGACACTAAGGAACATAGGAGATAAGAGGAGAGAGAGATTGCAGGGGCCTGGGAGAAGGGCAGGGACAATGAAGAGATTTTGGAGGAGAAGGAACATGAGAAGGCCCAAACTTTGTGGATGGAGAAGTGAGAAGCTGTTTCAGGCCATGCGTGGTCTGTCTGGGGAAAATGAGGCTGGAAGGTGGAGAAATGGGCTGGAGTAGAGAGATTTCCTCTTGGGAAGTAGCAAATTAAATAAAACATTCACTCTTTTAAAAAGGTTTATTGGCCACTGCGTGTATTGGGTGCAATGCTAAGTCTTAGGGATTCTGCAGTGAGGCTTTGCTCTCATGGAAAATACCATTCCGTGGGATAGACAGAAATAAACAGTTATGCAAATAAAAAGGATAATTTCAGATCATGGTGAGTGTGGCTTATATACTGGGAAGGTGAGGGAAAGGCATCTTGGAGGTGGCATTTATGCAGCGATAAAAAAGAGGAGAAGAAACCGACTCTGCATAGAGGGGTGTGGTGGGGAGAGCATTG